ATTCATTTCTTTTTCATTACATCTCCTGAGTCTATTCCCATTTAAAAAACTTTGTGACTGAGATTGCATGGGTCAATAGGTCTCACTTGCATCATATCCTATGAGCTGCTGACAAATTTGAGACTAATATTAGATAAAATGTTTTATGCAATCGTAGTAGCTTTCACTAATGAGAATGCAGAATTAAAGGGGTGCTGTTAATTTATAATAGCTTTTTCAAGTTTCAGTGCATGGTTTAACTTTGTGACAGTTGTCAATGTTTCTGGCTTTAAAAATTAGTGTATATTTTTGCATGGTGTCCTTTGATCTTTATACAACCTACAGAAACAAGATAGTTGATCTGCTGTAAGATGTTATGAAATGCACAAAATACACAAACTGACTCTTTAAGTGGGGAAAACAGAAATAAAAGCCTTCAGTGTTTTAATAATCCAATTATTCCTGATGTTAGAAAACTAGTTGTATGCAAATGACTTCCCAGTCATAGATGAGCATATTTTCCTGCTGCCATGTCTTTTTAAAAAAAAAAAAAAGGGGGGGGAAATCCCACCACCCCACAAAAAGCTGTTTTCAGCCAGTATGCTTTAAATTGAAATACATTATTTGGGTGGACTTTTTAAGGCATAATGACACTAAATCATAACAATTTGGACAACAAATGCCACTGCGTCTCTGTGGAAGCAAGTCATGTCCCCTCTTGCCCTGTCCTGTGGAAGCATCGTGGATGCGAGCATCCAGGAGGACCACAGCCAGGACACTGACTTCTCTCCCAGGTTCTGTCCCTTTACAAAATACGCGTGGTGTCTCCAGGCTCTTTAAGGTAATCTTTCTTCAGGTGTCTGAAGATACTTCTCTTGTCTGACCCAAAAGCAGAACAATTGCCAGAGCAGTCTTTAAATAGTGGCGCCAGTCAGTGTTCTCTGTAGGGAAGTGAAGTCCTTCATATCGATTACTGAGTAATTCCTCAGTAAATGCAATTATTCAGCTCAGCAGCATTTTTCATACAGTAAACAATTCCAAAATCACAAGCTGCCACCAGCAAAGCAAGAAAAATAAAATAAATCCCCACTGGCCTAGCCGAAGGAATCAGAACAAGCTATGCAAGCAGTATAAATAGTGCGGTATTAAGGCATGAACCGCGATACGTTCTGTACATAGCACACCGCACACATGTTAAGACAGGTAATAATATCCCCGGGTTCCTGGAGGGAGTGCCACTGGTGGCCAGCTCTGGAGTTCCTGCCTTCGGGAGCACTCTTTTGGGATGTCTGTTTAGTGAACTTGCCTAACAACAGGTGAATTGGCTAGGTTATTGGCGCGACTTACTGTATAGCCTATCCATGTTTTCAATCTTCCTGTGTCTAGTTCAGTTGTATTATCTCTAGGGGCATAAAATAATTTGATATTATCCCAGAAAGATAAGTATTTGCTTTTTAGATGGCTTCTGCTTTGGCAGTTCAGCCAGCTTTTTAGTTAGGCACTGGCTAAAAAAGTTCCTACAGGGAAAAGTGTTGCTGAACTTAGAACTGAGAGAAGTGCAGGTGATCGTGGGTATCTGAGAGCTATTCAGACTGCAGATGTGAGTGGTTTTCTTCCCTCATTTGTGCAATAGAAATTTCTTTAAGTATGGCTGCGAAAGGAATCAAAAATATTTGTAATATTGTGTTAATGAGCTTGGTCGACAGATAATGCGTATTCAGTTGAAATCTATTTCATCCAGATCTCAGGTTTTAATAATATTATGTCTGATTTTGTGCATTAAGATTGGGTGCAAAATAGGTACAAAGTGAATAGTGGCTTGGAGTATATCTCTATTAATACCAATTTGCACAATTCTAAGCAGATTTCATAGCAAAAGCGTCTCTGTATAGTGACTGTCTATGCAAGACACTTTACCCTTTCCCTCTTTTTATGGTAGATGGGTTTGGCTGCTTCCCAAAATACAGGTGCACAGATTGCCCAGTGTTTGTATGTGGTGTCCAAGAAGACATGACCCTGCGGGGTAGAGCAGGCTTTGAACTGAAGCTGCTGCCCATCAATTCTGTGGAAGCTGTGACTTCACCACGGTGGCCTTCCCTTTCCCTTGAGAAGGAGAGAGGACAGGCAGGCAACCAGGCTGCAGTGAGGAAGAAAAGCACAGGAAGGGTGCAGAAGGCTTGGGGGAAAGTCAGCCCTGCGGTTCTTTATCCTCCGAGGAGACAAACTACTTAGTGCAGAGGGGCTGCAGCTAAAATTCAAAGTGGATTGATTTAATTGCTCTCGCTGATTAACTTACCAGTGCTGCAGGGAAGGTGATGCTCTGGTGCTGGTAACTTTTATTTTCTTCCGAAGCCTATAGAACTAGCCTGCCTCTGATAATTTTTTTTTTCTTCAGAGTAGGTAATCCCGTTCCGCTCAACAAAGCACAAGTTGGCACCGTTACCCTCGTTCTTCCTGAGCACTGAATTTAATCTTCGATCTCTGTTATAAAGTAACCAAGAACTCTGGTTTTCCCCTTGCACAGCACTGGATTCCTTGACAGTCTTTTACCTTTTTTTTTTTTTATAATCAAATATATGCATCTGTAGGGGTAAGTCAGTTGATGATGATGCTAGTTAAGGTCACACATGAAGTCAGGAAGGCTCTGTGTGTGTGTGTATGTATTTATTCCCCCCCCCCCCCCCCCAAAAAAAAAAAAAAAAAAAGTTTTGCCAAGGTCCAGAAGCACTGAGTCTGGTGTTCTTTTGGGGAGTAAAAAGTACAAAATTAAACACAGGGCTGTGTTATGTTTAGGAGTGACAAAAGTGTGTTACTTCCTCTGAGTGTATGCTCTCCTGATTTTAAACTTGTAGAATCAAATTTTTGTCCTAAAACTACATGCCGAAAAGAGCCCAATGGCAAACACTTGGCTTGGCAAGACGAACCCTTCAGGTGCCTGTGAGGCAGCCGGGGACACAAGGAAGGTCTGTCTTCTGCACAACATGTGGTCCTGTAATTACAGACCGGGGTTGTAATGCCATTGCAGGTGGTTGTCCGGGCAACGGAATTCCTGATTCTTTACTTATCTTTGTAACCTAAATACGGTAATTGTTTTTACAAAACTACACAGATAACTCAGTTTAGCCTTTAGTACTGCAGTGACAAAGCTAATGCTCCTCGCGCACCCGCAGTGTTTAACCCAGCGCATCCTAAGCACGTTATCAGTCTCCCACCTCCTTGGCTGGATGTCTTGGCCACAGGAGAGGGCCGCCGTGGCTCCCAGCCCTAGCAGGCGGATCGAGCTGTGCATGGGGAGCGCGCAGAGGCACCTGACAAACCTCTCCTCCTCGCTCCCGGTGGCAGGCTGGGGCTGTGACCGAGTTCCCTGTGCTGCTCTGTCCCCCAGAAAGTATTTCTCCCACCATGGCGTGTGCAATTCCCACCCAGTATGTGCTACTGCCTGTCACGCCAGCGTCCCCATTAGCCTGGCTCTCTAGAATTTGTCTGTGTGCCTATTTTGGGCCTGTCTTCATGCTCCTGAGCTGCCTGAGAAGGTGGCTGACTTCCCAGAGTTTTCAGAAAGCTTCCCAAGCATGACAGCTTTCTTGCTAAAGAAATGTAAAGTGTAGTAATGTGGAGTTATTAAGGACATATGTTTCTGGAAAGTTCTTCCCATGTAGACCCAGCAGCCTCTATAAACCAGCTGTAGGTGGAGCAGCGCCACGCACCCTGGCTGTAGCAACGTTGCTCATGATAGAGCCTTGTGTGCGGGCAGAGAGGCAACGATCACACCGTGACACTCTAACTACTGCACACATACCCGAGTGATGTTGTGCTTTGAGGCTGCAGGAGGATTGCATACTGTCATCGCTGCTTTTTCTCATTAGCATACTTATTTTCACTAGGAAACAGGATGATAAAATTGTGTCGTGACAGACTTTGACTAGGTATCACTAGGGACCTGGTAACTCCTGTTTGTGCTTCTCCGGCTGCTCCTCCAGGTACTCTGTGAAATCGCACAGAAGAGAGCCCCAGGGCACGGCGCGTGATTCCCCACAGGAGGCATCTGGCTATGCCTGGTGCCAGGAGCTATTTTTACCTCCGTGTCTGGGAAGTCATTTGCCAGTCTGTATCTCCAGCTCTACAGGGGGATGTTTCTCGGCACTTGCCCTGTGGGTATACGTAAAAGCGTTGTTGCCTTATCAGGAGCAGCAGTAACAGTGGCAGTGCAGGGGTCTTCCAGGCGGCCTCTCGGCACCGTACAGTTAGCCGGTTCTATCTCCGTCGGCGTCTGAGTGCTGCTGTAGTCAAGGCATCATTTTATAAGACAGTTCCACAAGGAGAACCCAGCAGTGTAACAGTTTTCCACATACTCATAACCTGAGCAAGAAAAATCTGTTTGTTTTCTCGTCAAATGAAACGTCCTTGTCAGTTGTCTTGTTCAGTGTCATTGGGGCCCGGGCAGGATGCCGGTCGCCAGTGCTGCGGGGCTTGCACCAGGTACGGGATCCTGCTCTGGCACGGCCGAGGAAATGCAGCAGCAGGCAGAGCTTGCTCTGGGCCCAGCTGTGTGTTAGACTCCCTGGTTTGCATTTCTCTTTAGAGGTGGTGCCTTTTAGCGCTTTCTTCCTTGTTCTTGTCCAGGGATGTCACTAATTCCTGTGTCCCCGGAGGCAAGTGGAAAACCCCCAACAAGACAGAGGGACATACTAGCCCATTTCTCAGAACTCCACTTTTATCTGGTAACAGGATTAGTGACTTTGTCTGAAGTTAATCCTTTAAATGTGTTAACTCCAAACAAATGAGTTCCCTCTGCTGCTCTGGCCTAGAGTAGAATTAGGCTTTCTAAGAACTTAGAGCAATTCTAACTGAAATAGCCATGAAACAGAAAAACGTTCTGTGGCATTTGCTTGATTGCGTATCAATTCATTTAATAGTAGGATTCAGCTGTTACTGCTGATCCTGGCTGTAGAGTGAGGATCTTTGTATGTGCAAGGTAACTCACTGTTACAATTCTACATCTGTTTACCGACAGGGTAACTGCATGTCAGGATGGCAACTTCAAACCTGGAGAACCAGCTACAGAGTGCCCAGAAGAATTTGTTGTTTCTCCAGCGAGAACATGCCAGCACACTGAAAGGCCTGCACGCTGAGATTCGACGCCTGCAGCAGCACTGCACAGGTAGCTGGGAGAGGATGCTGGTGCTGAGTCGGTGCTTAATCCTTTCCACAGGAATGGAGTAACTGCTTCCTGCTTCCGCAGTGAAACCTCAGCAGCAAAGCCCACCCCCAGGGTATATTTGGGGTGATCAGCGTGTGTCTCAGGGCACAACTGTGTGATCATTAAGCAAAGATTGGATTGGTTTGGTTTTTGGTGTGTGGGGTTTTTTTTTAAAAAAAAAAAAAAAGCAAAGTGTCACCTGATGGTTCCAATTGTTTTACAGATTTGATAATTTGCAGTGGATCTCCTATTACTGCTTCAGGTGGAGGGAAGAGTTAGTTATATTTTTACTGAAGTATGCCATTGTAAATGTGCTCACCAGGTGGGGTATGGGGTAGATGATGACATTCTAACAGAAATAAACAACTTTTTTTCCTCAGATTTAACCTATGAGCTGACTGTAAAGAGTTCAGACTTGTCAGGTAAGGAACACGCAGCATTTTTCTTTTAATGTTCATGTTAAACTTCCTCATCTTTTTCAATGTTTGTATTTTCTCCATTACAAGTAGGTGAGAATACTTGGCACTTGTGTTGGATGTTGACTTTGTAATTTCTAAAGGTATGAAAGTAGTTTTCTACTTTCCAGGCTTACTGTTATTTATGAAGTAAATGTCACAAGTTCTTTACCAAGGTCACATAGGAAATCTTTGAAAGAGCCAGGAATAGAGTGTAGAACTGCTGACTCCTCTCTCTGTTCCCTGCATGCTATGTGGGAACAGGGGACATGAACTTTAGGGGCAGAAGAGCGAGACTATTATTAAAACTTAGCTGGTACTGTAATCACACCACAAAGCTTTTATTTTTTTATATATATATATATATACACATACACACACACACATGCACACACCCCTATATATACACACACTAGATTCTAGTTATTTCAGATGTAGTATGTTACCAACAGGTGAAGCACAGGAGTAAACCACTCCCTGGGAGTGACCTCCCGGATCAGGGATAGTGTGGGATGGAGCACATATTGCAGATAAGAGAACACGGGCAAACTTAGCAAAGCAAGTGAGCAGCTTTGCATGTGCTCAGCAGTATTTCTTGATACTGCGATGTTGCTCAGATGCTTCTCATCACCGGATTTTCAGAGTAGGCGATGCATCAGTTATGCCGCTGTGGTGATGCTGCGCCAAGCTCAGGCGCTGGCAGTGCGGAGGGGACGACACTTCACAGTTGATAGCCCTGTGACATAGGGTGCTTGTTATTGGAGAAATTCAGGCTGCTGGTCTCTGCTAAACAGTTGGGACACTGTCCCGCTGTAATAACCAAGGGAAGAGTGACAAAATCGCCCCGCACGCCCTGTGGCATTAGGGGAGGGGTGCTGAGACGGGTCAGCCTGCCCGTTCCTGATGCTGTGCCCTCAGTGGCACAAGAACCCCTGGTGCTAGAGGGGCGTGCCACACTCTTGTGAGCAGGAGGCAGCCAGGCCCAGACACCTCGTCCCCACAGAGACTTCTGCAGCAGCAGCACGGCCGTGGTGAAGAGGCACGCCTCGGCCTTACGGAGCCACGGCCCTCAGCTGCCCGTGGAGGGGTGAAGCTAAAGGCTGAGCACGTCTTCTGGAGAGCGCTGCCGGCCAGTCTGGCATTTGCAGTGGGGGAAGTTCCTCTTAATAACCAGAGGATTTGCAAAATGGCTCCAATTTTGAGCAAGTTCAGCAAGCGTGGTTTCTGTAATCCCTGTTCCCCAGAACGTGTGAAGCGTCTCTACTCAGTATCAACACTATTAAACACCGTTAAACCATGGCGAGTGGCACTAGCTCGTCATCGTTTCCTTAAAAGCTGTCCTGGTGCTTCTGAAGATGAAGTCATTTTAAGAGTATTAGCTGAAGGTAGTCTTTGGGATTTTTCTTACGGCTTTGGGATGGCAAAAGGAACCCTATGGCACTATTTTATGTAGTGGCTATTGTTAACTTGAAATGCTTCCGCTTTTCCTATTCTTCTAGGAAACGGTAGTTCAAGAAGTGATGAACTCAAGAGAAAGTGTGAAGATCTTGAAGCTCAGCTGAAAGTCAAAGAGGCTGAAAATAATGAATTACTGAAAGAACTTGAACAAAAGAATGCGATGATAATGGTGCTGGAAAACACTATTAAAGAAAGAGAAAAGAAGTATTTGGAAGAGTTAAAAATGAAAAGCCATAAGCTCAATATGTTGTCAAGTGAACTAGAGCAGAGAGCGAGCACTATTGCTTATTTAACTTCTCAGCTGCACGCTACTAAGAAGAAGCTGATGAGTTCAAGTGGGACTTCGGAGGGGACCCCTTCTGGCAGTCCCGTGTTGTCCAGCTATAAGCCGTCCCCTCCCAAAGATAAGCTGCCGGAGACTCCACGGCGCAGAATGAAGAAGAGTCTGTCAACACCACTCAACCCCGAGTTCGAAGAGGCCTACAGAATAGGGTCGGATAGCCGGAAGCTGCTGTTAAGAGAGCCTGTGGATGCCATGCCTGATCCCACGCCATTTCTGTTGGCCAGGGAGACGGCAGAGGTGCACCTTATTAAGGAGAGGCCGTTAGTCATCCCACCTATTGCTTCGGATCGCGCGGCCGGTGAATCGCACAGCCCAGCCCGAGAGAAGCAGCACAAGGCGCACATTGGGGTGGCACATCGCATCCACCATGTCACGCCCGCCCAGCCACAGCCGGAGGTCGAAGCGCTGGTGGTGGATCAGGTCCACGGAAGCAAAGTGGCCAGAAAGCACTCAGGGACAGACAGAACTGTTTGAGTAAAATCACTGAAACGCTCTACTCTGTTGCTGTTTATGCACTGTGATCCTGTAGGATAAATAGCACCTGCAGTAAAGTTTCTTTTGATGCCCCATGCATGCCAAACTTCTTCCAGATACATCATTAATAGATTACGCTCCTCTAACGAAACCTAACATGACTGTGTTCATATGGCAAGGTATATAACTCCTAAATGCTGTGGCCAAATCAGGGGTACCTGACCGCTTGCTTCTGAGCACTGCTCCATTTAGTGTAAGTACACGTGTGGACAAAGGCACAGGCTGCAGGCTGTGTTAGTAATCGATAGTGGTGAAAACAAACTTAACTATAAACCTGCAGCGATATGTATTGGCTGTTAACGTTTGAACTACCCGTGGTTCTTTTGTCTTCACTGTGTATGTAAGCACTCCGTCCACAAACCCGACCCTCTGCGACAGAGCCTTTCTCACAGTAGCGTTGAAAATAATGCAGATGTGTGTACACTTTGAAACGACCTAAGGCCATCTTTTCCTTCACGTGCACATGCTCTCAATTGCAAAGAGTGTTCATAGTTTCCCTAGAGAGTCCCAGCAAGCATTACTTGGTTAATCCTAAATAAATACTTCAGTTAGTGGCTTTGTTAAAGTTTAAAAAAAAAAAAAAAGAGAGAGAGAGAGGGGCTAAAGCACTCTTTTAAAGGGTTAATGATCCTCACGGAAAGAGTATGAACACGGGGTGGTTGTGGTGTTTGGTTTTGTTTTTAATTGAATGGCTCCATTACACATTTTACACTAGTCAGTACACTGTACTTGTAGCACCTTCCATACTGGCTCAGAGCTCCTTTTCCAGGGAGAAAAACGGAACTGGCTGTCCAATATGGAAATGGTTCTTTATGCTCTAACCTGCACTTTTTTACTTTTTCTTTTTTTTAATTATAAAGGCATTATTTTTATTTCCTGAAAAACCTTAGTCTTGTTCTGGGCATCATCAGACTCTGCTGGCTTCTGCCAGCTTAGAAACCTGAGCTATCCCGCTAAAGAGTGTGTGTTTAGTTTTAAATTTAACTGATGTAACCAGTTCATACAGGAGGAGAACCTGGCATCCTTGATTTTTATCCTTGTGCACTGGGATGGACTTGCCTTGCACTTGCCCTGGGTCCCCAGCTCCTTTCTAGTAAGCAACAGGTAGACCCTGCATCTGTTAGACTACTTGATGGGTTTTATGATTACTGTTTTTTTTCCTAGGAAAGAAAGGCATACTGAGAGCTGTGAGAGTATGTAATTTGGGGAAAGGAGCACAAATTTGACCATTTTTCTTAAACGCTGATCAGCACCTCCAGCTCACCTCTGCTTCACTCTTGTCTGCAGCCTCTGAGTAGGACCAGCAAGAAACAATGGCTCCCAAATGCTGCTAAGCTTATGATGTGCCTTCAAAAACCTGGAACGCGTAATCTCTGTGAAAGCTGATGAAGGATCCCTGCCTGCCCTCTCTCCTTCCCCTTGCCAGCTGTAGTCTGCCCCTCGTAAGCTTCTTCTGCAGCTGTGTGTTGGTGTTTGTCTCCCTCTGGAGCTTTGGATCGCTGTCGGCTTCCCCCACAAAGGCACTGGCAGGATGACAAAAGCTGTTCTTCCTCACCGTGGTACCACTAAATTTCCCGTGCAGCATGACAGCCTGCAGCAGGGTTGTTCCATCGGGGAGGGGGCAAAGAGCCGCGAGCCCTAAGGCCTCTGGCGCCCTACCCCGTGCACCCTCACGACTTGGCCGTGCGCTGCTCTGAAGCCCGAGACAGACATCTGCCCTGCCGGGTGCGTGGTAGGATGTGTTTCGTGACTGGTGGGGAGGGATAGGGAAAAGCTGTGTTCCTGGAAAACGGTTGGTTAACGAAAGCTTGTTATTCTGTGGTTTACTATTTTTAAGTGTATTGCATTAACCAGCAGTGGTTTCGGGTTTTGGTGGGGTGGTTTTTTTTTTTGGTTGGTGGTGTTGCCATATTTTTATGGCGATCTATTGTATGACTGATCTACCCTGCCATTTGTTTGAGGATGATGGAAGGCACCGCTTCTAAACACAGCAGAAGTGATGCTTTGGGCAATTAAAAACATTTCTTACAACCATACAAGCAAACCTTAGTCTTTGTGTGTGTGAGATGAACTTACTACCTCTTTCGTGTACACAGACCAGCTTGGACCCTTTCTAAAAGGAAACGCAAATCATGAAAAACGCTTTCCTCTTCAAATGTGTTTATTGATAGTACTAGCTTAGTTGTATCACACTCTTTAAGTCAGATGTGCCTAAGCGAATGCTGTCCCACCCATGGTGTGATCCCTCCCTTCCCTGCCCAAGGGTTGGATTCTGTGGGAAGAATCCGGTGCCAGCTGCAGCTGTCAGTCTGTGTTCAAGGTGAGGCAAACGCCTTGAAGGACCCAGTGGGAAATGTGCTTTGTCGTGTAAAGATCAGCTTCAAAAACAAGGCCGACACCCATGGCATTCCTTCTCAGGGAGGTGGTGTACACTGGTGTCCGGAGGGTGTTCTAAAAGAGCGTGGAGGAAAGAAGGACACAGAGTAGTGCCTGAAGCACTGTGCGGGACTGGGGACGAGAAGGGCCTCTAGGCCCTCTTAGATAACTGATACCCAGAAAATGTAAACATCCTTTACGTCATTAACTGGTAATGGGAAATAATGAAAAGAACAGCGGGAGTGTAAGTGTCCCAAGATGGTTTCATAGTGCCCGAGTGGAAAAGAGGCAGCACACATATAAACCCCCCCCCCGAGTGTAACCCTGAGAAAAGAAAAACCCTAATGGTGGCTAATGTAAGAAGTGTTGAAGTGCATACTTTATACACTAGCGGCAATGGTAAAATACTGCCGCTTGTGCTAATTGGGAAGGGACTACCAGCTACCGAGACGTGAAAACAGAAGGAAGTCAACAAGCTCATTGTGTCCCCAAAGGAGCGGTACCTGGAGCTTGAGCCTGTGCGCTTCAGTGGGGATTATCTTCAGAATGGGTAACTCCACCACCAGCACTCCGGGCTTGCTTTTGGCAAGGCAGCTGTGCTCCGTGTCCCAGTCTGCTCCTTCCAGAAACAGACCGGAAACAAAGCAGCCTGTACAGGCAGAAAATGCAACAGCTCCTGTAAAGCGAGCCACTAAAAAAACAACAGTTTAAGAAAGCTGTTCCTGCACTAGCCGTCCTTAGCACTTACAGGCACAACAAAACTCGCTACGCTGCACCTACACAGACGTACATTATCTGCGGTGTTTGCTTTTATAATACAACTGTGACCTACCATGTTTAAAAAATTTTTTTCAAATTAAAATTGTCTCAGTTGCACGACATATGATAAATGTTATTAAGAATAAATACTGATTTGCTTGCAGTTTTCTTCCCCACAGTGGGTGCCATCCTCCAATTACTTGCCCCAGTAATAGCCAGGTTACAAGAGTTTTTTAATTCCTGTGGGAGTGCTCGTTACATCAGTCTGACAAAAGGTGTAGCATTGGGAGAGAGTTGTTCTGGTACAAATACCAAGCACTTTGATGAAACGGTAGTAAATAAAGACCAGTCTAGGTGAGCCCTTGAGGTGACTTATTTTTAAAGGAAAGTTAGATTGAGCAAAAACAATCCCATTTTTCCTTTTCCTCCTGTGTTCCCAATCAGGTCTAGTGCTTAAAAGCATTGCTTAGCTGTCCCCTTTGCCCAGAGTTTGTTGTATTTAGTAATTAGAGCATTGCCGGTCATAGAAATTTCATAAAGATATATTTACACAATAAACCATACATAGTTGTATTTACTTTTTGTTTAAATATATTTCAATTTTTTTTTTTTTGCGGTGCAAATAGGTCTTTAGAAACCTGCTAGGCCCGGTAATGTTCTAGCCAGTAAGCGAAAAGGAGAGAGCGAGCGAGCGTGCAGGGGAGAGGTGTAAGTTCAAACACATGCATGCAGGTGAAAAGAGCCGAGGAAAGAGGCTCATACTTTGTGCTTGCAGGGG